AAATTAACAAAAAGGAATACAAAAAAGCATCAGCAGAAAAATGCCAAGATCAATGGGGATAGGATAGGAGGGTAGTAGGACAAACATGAAGAGTAGAGTGCTGAGCTCCCGGAGTATCCCCTCGGAGATCCGGTTGCACTTCAACGGATGAATGCATACCGTCAAATTTGCTTCAGCCACGTTCAGACCCTCCCCTGCTGGCCGAAGTTTACTGCAGAAACGGAACTCTGTTTTCTCCAGCGAGTAAATTTTTAAGGGACAGGGGGAAACATATTCTGGCCTTTGGGCTAGGGTTCTAAAATGCTAACTGGGTCCTAATTGGATTGAGGCCCTAATCTCGATCTGTTGTTGAGGATGATGACCGTCCCAATTACAAAATATCCAACTGGCTCTTGTTACCCTTTGGCCCATTTTCTTCCACTAAGAATCTAAGATCCATATCAAATTTCTTCTTCTTCTTTTTCTTTTTTTTTTTTTCTTTCTTTTCCTTTTATGATAATGATTTTATGAATTTTTTAAGGGTTAGTTTAGGGTGGTGTTATTGCCACAGCTTCAAAGGTTAATACCACAGCTTTTTTAATTAATTGACCATTAACCCACGCGGAGAAGGTGGTGACTGCTGCAAGTTGGATTCAAATGAGGGGTATAATAGTCAAACAATTAAAAAAAGCTGTGGTATTAACATTAGTGGCTGTGGCAATAACACCACCCGTTAGTTTAGCATGCATTTTGGTTTCATTTTCTTTCTTTCTTTTTTTAATCACGCTATGATTATGAGAACATACATAATTGTTGCATTAGCTAAAGAGAAATTAAAGAGTAGGCCACTAACGCATGCTTAATGCATTTTTATGATATTTAAGAGGATAAAATGAATTGAAACCTTTCAAAATCTTAGTCTGTCTTTCAATTATTGTAACAACAGCCCGCCAGTGCTAATGCATGCCTTCACTTTCCTAAAGTACAAGCAAACATTAATGGACCAACAATTGAGTAGCTTTGTCTTTGGTAGCAACAAGCAAAAGGGCATGACTTCTTTCTGCCTCTGGTCAAACATAAATCTCTCTTTGTAATCCTCCAAAACCCCATACCTTACAAAACCTCAGCCTTTTTAATAACACCCAATTTGCAGGCTCACTCAATCGCTTGAGCAAAGAAGAAAATTCAGACTCACAAAATGGAAAAAAGGCACTTTCCATCTGAAAAAGAGCCCATGCAACAGCTCACACACAATAAAAAAAGCCTAGTGGAGATTCAACAAAATCCCAAAAAGAAAATGAAAGTGAAGACAAATTAGAGTTCCTTCTCCTCAGCAATTTCAGGAGATGTCCCCTCCTATCCCTACAACTTACACTGCTTCGGTGTTCCCCTCAGGCCACGCTTGTTTTTCGGTTCTTTCACTCTCAATTATCACTGCTAGATTCCTCCCCCTACACCCCACTTTATATGTATTTTGGATGCATTCTCATTATTAATAAATAAAATTTTTTGGGCGAATTTCCATGAATTAAGTGACAGTTTATTTTTGTTCATTATCTTGATTAATGATTTTGCTTAAGGATTTTTTAATTTAAAGATGTATTTATTATATTTTTTTCATGAATTTATATAAAAATTTATAAAAATAAATTTTTTAATA